GAAGAAGAAGAAGAAGAAGAAGAAGAAGAAGAAGAAGAAGAAGAAGAGAGGGAGAAGGAGAGGAACCCCCTCCCTTGGGGTCCGTCCGTCCCCCGGCACTCCTTCTCAAGCCACTTGCTTGGCGAAAGGGAAGAGAAGCTAGGAGAAGAATGAGGGAACTTTGGGTGGGTTAAGAGCTTCAGCTGGCCTGGATGGGCGATAGATGGCCAAGGACATTCTCATCAAGCGGAGTTCTATTTTTAAAAAATATATATATATATTAAGTGGGCATTGCAGTTATGCACCACAAATCAACTTACAGAAGAGTGAGAAGAAATAGAGTGAAGTCTGAAGAAGTACCGCACATATATTTCACGGAATATCTGATATAGCTTGGAGGGCTCATTGTAGAGAAAACAAAGAGGAGCAACTGAAAACATTAAAAAAAAAAAACACCACTAGTTAGCAATGGAAAAATAGTAACGTGTACTGTATAATAATTTTTAAATTTCAGGAAGATGGATTTCGATGGCAATAGACTTACATACCGCTTCATAGCCCTCTCTAAGCGGTTTACAGAGTCAGCCTATTGCCCCCAACAATCTGGGTCCTCGTTTTACTGACCTCGGAAGGACGGAAGGCGGAGTCAACCTTGAGCTGGTCAGAATCGAGCTGCCAAATTGCTGGAAGCCAGCAGTCAGCAGAAGTAGTCTGCAGTACTGCATTCTAACCACTGTGCCGCAGTACCTCAATGAATATTAAGGGAAAACAGGCATTATTATTCCACAGCTATAGTTATTCCAGAATAACTATAACTATGGAATAAGAATGTCTGTACTGCTTACCGACAGTTGGAATAATTAAGTAGCACCACAGATAAGCCACTTGTGTATTATGTCAAAAGAATTGCTGGGTGAACGGAGATCACTACATTGGCTGTGTAGATCTTACTACTTTCAGAAGCAGCTGTGTTGTTTTTGTGTGCTGGCAATTACAAAAAAAAATATTGGCAGGTGCATAAACGCTGCTAAGAATAGCACCTCCATGCAAATTCTGTCTTTTTTCTTTCTTTCTTTTTTTCAAGCTCAGAAAAAGAGATCCAAGCATCACCGGAACTGAAGAGTTTCCAGGTTATTAAGTTGTGAGAGATAATATAGAAAGGGACCTGTTTTAAGAACCATGACAACCCACAGCTTCTACACAACCATATCTATTATCTATCAATGACAAGCTACTTACCATACATTGAAAAGCCATGGAAAGGAATGACACCTAAAGAAAGAAAAGAAAAAAACATATTCCACTTAAGTGTCTAAAGAGCGGGCGTTTTCAGAAATAGGAAACTTTTAAAAAAAAATCTACAGAGATTCTCAGTCATCCAGGTCAAGGTTGTCCCAAATGTGATTTTTTTTTTTCAAGAGGCAACTGGATTTTCTGGGGTTTTCTTTTGAAGAAGTTTCGCTTCTCATTTCAAGAAGCTTCCGGAAGAGCTGAAGGAGCTTCTTGGATGAGAAGTGAAACGTCTTCAAAGAAAAACTCCAGAAAGTCCCGTTGCCTCTTGGAAGAAGGCACTTTTGGGAAAGTTGGGGGGGGGGAATTCCAAATTTTGCACAAAACACCTCCCTCACAGCCTAAAATTCTGCCACAATGAGAGCTAGAAAGACAGGCTCAGGTGTCGTCTGGGGCCCTTTTGCTACACACGTTGGGGAATTATTGTGAATTACATGTGGGTGGCAAGGTTATCACTGACACCTACTTTCCCTGGATGGATTAGAGGGGATTCACTGTGCGCAGCCTAAAGACCTGAACCCATTCAAGCAGGTGTGCATTTCATCCTTGTTCTTCCTTGGCTAATTAAAGCAGCCACAAACTGCCTTAGGACAAAATACTTTGTCAACAGGCTGAAGGGAGCATCATGTGCTGCTCCAGAGGAAGATCTATTTCTAGTCAACCTTTGGGAGGCTGTAGTGGAGTGAGATCTTTCTTTCTTGAGACCCCACCATAACCGGTGTCAAGTTTGCTATTTCTCAGCAAATTACTCCAACATGCGGTCATGCGAGGCACCAGGAATTTTTGGATGAAAGGGATTATCTAGATCCATTTCAGTTTGGCTTCAAGCCTGGTTTGGAACAGCTTACATAATAATGATAATGATGTTTTATTTTAAAAGCAATTGCTCCTTTGTGACAGGGGGAGGAGGAGGAGGAAGGGGAGGAAGGGGAAGGGGAGGAGGAAGAAGAGGGGGAAGGAGAAGGGGAGGAAGAGGAAGAGGAGGAGGAGGAGGAGGAAAAGGAGGAGGAAGGAGGAGGAGGAGGAAAAGAGGAGGAAGAAGAAGAAGGAGAAGGAAAAGAAGAGGAAAAGTAGGAAGAAGAACGGGAATAAGGAGCAGAAGAGGAGGAAGAGGAAGGAAAAGGAGAAGGGGAACAGGAAAAGGAGGAGGGAGAAGGAGAAGAAGAGGAGGAGGAGGAGGAAGAAGGAGGAGGAGGAGGAGGAGGAGGAGAAGGATCAAATAAATGCAGCAGCATCAATTCTTTAATCTTCTGAGCCTGCTTCTGTATGGCTGGGGGAAAAACACCCTGGGATGCTTCAAAGCAAAAAATAAAAAAAAAAGTTCTGCCAATTTTTTTTCTAATAACAGTTGTTATTTCTTTTTACCCAAAGGACAAAAATGCCATTCAAAAGAATCCACTCTTTAAAAAGGGTATAATTCCCCCTGTTTCCCACTAGAGGGGGCAACAATATAACATCTTTACCATTTGGCGGATAAAACACAGCGTATTGTTCCATTCCAAGCTTCCCTACACACAAAAAACCAAACAAACAAACAACAAACAAACAAACAAACAGAAATAACACAGAGAGCATCAGAGAAACAGCAAAGAGAATGCAAAGTTCTCCATATGAAAAATATAGACCTTGTCACAAGAAACAAGAGGAACAAACTAGAATGCAAATTCAGAGGACAGGAAAATAATAATAAAAATAACAAATCCATCTAGAGCTGCACAGTCCTTAACTTACGACCACAACTGAGTACAAAACTTTATATTTGTTAAGCGAGGAATTGGTTACAGGAGTTTGCTAGTCAGAAGGTGGCAAAATGTGATCACCTGCCTGCCAGGATGCCGTCATAAATGTGAGCCTTCACGTGTAAATCACCTGCCCATGGGGATGCTACGACGGTCGTAAGCGTGAAAAATGATCCTAAGTCACTTTTTAAAATATGACTGTAATATCGGACAGTCACCCAACGAACCGTTGTAAGTGGAGAACTAACTACCTGTAAAACTATCCTTAAAGTAATGATCTAGAACCGTGGTGGGGAACCTGTGGCGTGCGTGCTGGAAGTAGCACACAGAGCCATTTCTGCTGGCATGTGAGCCGTCCCCCCGAGATCAGATCTTGGCAACTGGCGAATATTTATGAGGGTTGCAAGGTTACGTGGTGGTCACCTTCTGACAAGCAAAGTCAACAGGGATTCTCTTAACAACTCTACTACCAACTTAACGGCAGGGAATCACTTAACAAGCGTGGGGGGCAAGCAAACGGGGCAAAGCCCACTTAGCAACAGACATTTTAGGCTCGGCTGTGCTTGTAGGTTCGAGAACTGCCTGCAGACCTATTTGTCCTCACCGGTACAGCATTGATTTTCATCCGTTTTCATTTTAAAAAAATAAAATGGAATATGGGTAAATTGGGCTGACTCTCAGTACCCCTGTCAATCTTTTACTTTGATTGTTGTTTCAGCAGCTGGATTACGCAGAAGCCCCCCCCCCCCCCCAAAAAAAAAGCCGAAACATTTTCCCTTTGTAGGGCCTGACGTGGCCCGCCAGTGGCTAGAGGAGTTGGTGGCAGACTCGGACGGTGAGGAGGTTGGGGAGGAGGAACAGGGGCCAGTCCGGGAGTCTGGGGAAGGCTCTGATGAGTGCTCTGCGTTGGAGGCAGAGATGGGGCCAGGGCCGTCCGGCAGTTATCAGTGGGGAAGAAGAACAGCTGGAGCCTGTTCCCAGTGTGCACATGCACAGAGCTGCCAGGAGAAGGGAACAGTTAAGGAACAAGAGCTGACTCGGGAGTAAGGGCCCAGGTGGACGGTGAGTGGCTCCTCCCATAGGGAATAAAGAGGAGCAAAAGAGGAATGGTGTTTGCAGGAGTCAATTAGTTCAATTCATTAGGGTGAAGACCTGTTCCTGACTTCTTGCCAAGTAGTTACTGCTACAGCGTGGCATTTGGAAGATATTCGCTTGGCAACTCTCCCAGCCTAATAAAGGTCTGTAGTTGTGAAATCTCATGAAAGACTGTTTGCCGGGTCTTTGCTGTAGAGGAGTTCCCTTTAACCTCAATAAAAGGGCCTTTATTGGGGCGAGGAGTCTGCCTCATGATCTTAGGAAGCCTAGATCAGAACAGGGCCTAACATACGTATTCAACCTGTCAAAGATAGCACATGTTCATCGTCCATGAGATGCAAAGAAAGTGGTAATTAAGTGCATTGGTCGTCATGGACACTAAGGTTTGAATGTTACCCAATCCTGGTTTGCTTAAGACCATCAAGTAACGTTTATAAAACAATTCTCTCTCTTTGGCGACTCTGTATGGCTGGAGCATTTCAAATAAAACGTTTCTTTACCTCGAATGAATGATCTGGGTGGGCTAGCACTATTGTATGCAAAGTGTTCCAACACGGAAGTGTCTCGGGAAAAACAAAGCAACACCTGCGGAAAACACAAACTTATCAGAAAGTTCTGTGTCAATAATAAGCTCATTTTTAACTGAATCTAGAAAAAAAAGTGCATTTCCCACAAAGGTCAACGTCTTACTACACACTAAAACACAGAAAAGTGTTCAGATTAATCTCTTCCAACTGAGGAATGGCTTTTGTATTCCTGAAAAAGTTAACAGGTATGCTTCGTCCTATTTGGACTTCTAAAGAGAATTGTAAAAATAACCTCCAGTTTCCTAGTTTTCTTAAGGCAGCAGTAGGGAAAACTCAAACTAGATTGCCGGCAAAGACAACTTTTCTACTCAGAATAAACTCAGAACTCAACTGCCAACTCACACCCAACTGCTCTGTTTATTCTGCTTCTCTCTCTCTCTCTCTGTATATATATATGTGTGTATACACACACACACACACACAAACATATATATACACATATATACATATATACACATATATATACATATATACACACACACACAAGACTACAGCAAATTCATTTCCACGAGTAATCATTCTAATGTGGGACATGCAGCAGCTTATCTTTTTATTTTAAACAGAATTTTTCCAATGCCATGACAATGTTTCCCAGTGCAAGGCCTGTGTGGAGAGTAATTTTCTGTTTAATATTTGTATAAACAAAATCCTCTGAAAATTGTATTTGTCAAAGAAAAGCAGAAACGTCTTGAAAATCCGTCTGGGCTTCTGATAGAGGACAGAATAATTTTCTGCCAGAGATATGGCCCTACCTCCTTTGAACAACCTGCTACTTTTGCTGGTTAACATTTTTTTTTGTCAGACGACAAAGTACCTTTATCTTAAATACACACTTTCAGCACTACTTATCAGCCCCCGTGCTCCTATCCGAACTCTTAAAATATACCACAGCCAGCAAAGTAGAAATAAACAGGAAAAATTAAAAACTACTTTATAAGAACCCATGTCAGCAGAAAGAGGAGGGGAAATTATGGACACAGACAAGGGCTCCTCTGATTGCCCTACGAATTGGGGGTGAAGGTAGAAATATCTTTCTTATTTTTGTTTCATTTTACTTCCCTCCAATTCGAGTTCAATCCTCGGAGACTGCCTGGAAAAATCCCCACAAGGTTTTCTTGGCAAGAATTTTTCAGAAACAGTTTGCCATTGCCCGCTTTCTAGGGCTGGGAGAAAAGGACTGGCTCAAGGTCACCCAGAAGCTTTGGGCTGAAAAGGCAGGACCAGAACTTTGTGGTCTCCTGGTTCCTAGCCATAACCACCGCGCCAGCCTGGTTCTCCCAATTTCCTACTACAACTTACAATCGTTTGTTTAGTTGCGATGGCAGTGAAACATAAAGGGCGAGGAGGCTTACGATTGGTTTCCACACTGACCGTGCTGACCTGTTGTGGCCCACCAGCGGCTGGCGGAGCTGGCAGCAGTCGGACAGTAGTGAGGAGGTTGGGGAGGAAACTGGGCCAGTCCTGGAGGTTGAGGAAGCCTTGGATGAGGGCTCTGCATCCGAGGCAGAGGTGGGGTCAGGACAGACTGGCAGCGAGGCAGGGGAGCTGCTGGAACTGGTTCCCAGCCTGCGCATGCGCAGAGAGCTGCCAAAAGGAAGGCACACTTAAGAACTCAGGGTCGACACGGGAGCAAGGCCACAGGTGGACAATGAATGGCCCCTCCCATCAGGATTAAAAGAGAAACAAAAGGGGAGGGGGCTTTTGCAGGAAACAACTTACTCGTTCGTTCGTCCGTTCGTTCTAGTCTCGGGAAGATTTGTCTATATAAGCCAGCCCTTCCCTGTCAGCACTGAGCGTGGAACTATTTACTGGACAGTGTTCCAGGATTGATAAAGGTCTGAGCTCATTAGTATACCTTTGCAAGACTGTTTGCCAAGCCGTTGGCTGACTAATGAATGAAATAAATTCACATTAATGTAATAAAAGAGGTTTTGCTGGGACTCAGAATTGACTTAATGCTAGCCAGGAGTAAACATAGAATCTTGAAAACTTAAGAATAATGTCCCAGGCTCAGCAATAGTAATTGAATTAAGACAATTTCATTTTGAAAGGATTTCTTCCCACATCTGTTAGCTCTGGATTGAGTTGCCTCTTAGACAAACCAAGAACCTGGCCTTTTGCTTTCCCACATTCTCACAATCCCACAGATGGCCTTTTGTATTTTTCTAAATGTACTTCCTCCTTTGTCCATTTCCGGCCCCCCCCCGCCCCCCTATGGACTTTTTGCTGATAGTCTTAAAGTCAGCCCCACTTTCCTTCCCTGATTATAAACTATTTTTGTGTCGTATGTTTTTATCAGCGTATATACATACTTGAAATAAATTAATACAGGCAAATTCACTTTCCCAAATGCTGAGAAGTACTCCACACGGTTTTGAATTTCCTTCTTTATGGGTTTCTTTCAGGTTTCCAGAGGTGTAATATTTCAGAAATGCACTTTATATCCTTCTAAACTCTAGGTTTACAAACACCATACCATCGCAAGTCGGGAGGCTACCTGTCACTCTCTTGCCCAAAGGTTTTTTTGAGTTTCAACTATCACTAAATACTGCTCCTCTGGATATTATTCATACTGACTCCAAAACAAGGACTATTACATGAGAATTCCTCCCCTCTCCTGTATCTTAACTTCCCCACCTCAGAATTTTGAACTGTATTTAATTATTTCCTCTAATGCAGAGAAGCTTGTCGTGCTCCATGCAACTTTCCTACCTTTTTATGTTTCCATTTTCATTCTGATTTATTACACAGGAACACTAATTTATCTGTTGTACAAAGTAATAATTAAGACTGTCAACTAATTGGCAGTGTAAAAACTTGCTATTCAAAATTCTAGCTTTGTTTTTTTTCAAGACATACCCACCTTCCTTCCTTCCCTCCCTCCCTCCCAATCTTCCTTCCTTCCCCCTCTTGCTTCCTTTCCTCCATCTCTATCTCCCTTCCTTCCTTTCCTCCCTCCCTCCCTTCTTTTCCTCCGTCCATATCTTCCTTCCTTTCCTCCCTCCCTCTTCCTTTCCTATCTTCCTCCTTCCTTCCTTTCCTCCCACCCTTTTACCTTCCTTCCTTCCTTTCTTTCTCCCTCTTCCTTCCTTCTCTCCTTCCCTATCTTCCTTCCTTCCTTTCCTTCCCCCCTCCCTTCTTTTCCTCCGTCCATATCTTCCTTCCTTCCTTTCCTCCTTCCCTATCTTCCTTCCTTCCTCCTTCCTTCCTTTCCTCCCACCCTTTTACCTTCCTTCCTTTCCTTTCTCTCTCCCTCTTCCTTCTCTCCTTCCCTATCTTCCTTCCTTTTCCTTCCTTCTTTTCCTCCATCCATACCTTCCTTCCTTCCTATCCTCCCTCCCTTTTCTCCTTCCCTATCTTCCTTCCTTCCTCCTTCCTTCCTTTCCTCCCACCCTTTTACCTTCCTTCCTTCCTTTCTTTTCTCCCTCCCTTTTCCTTCTCTCCTTCCCTATCTTCCTTCCTTTTCCTTCCTTCCTTTCCTCCCTTCTTTTCCTCCGTCCATATCTTCCTTCCTTCCTTTCCTCCCTCCCTTTCCTCCTTATCTTCCTTCCTTCCTCCTTCCTTCCTTTCCTCCCACCCTTTTACCTTTCTTCCTTCCTTTCCTCCCTTCCTCCGTTAACCATGTTAAAGTGCAATTAATAACTGCAATGATTCACTTAACAAATGTGGTGAGAAAAGTCGTAAAATGGGACAAAACTCACTTAACAAATTCCCCCACTTAACAACATAAATTCTAGGCTCAGTTGTGGTTGTTAAGGCAAGGCCTGCCTGGATTAGCCTTAGTTTGGCAAAAGATTCTATCCGGTAAGGTAAGCAAATAAAAGACTGAAGTCCATTGCTTTTCAGTGTGTCTTTGGCCTTGAGCCTGACTTATGCAGACACAGAGCAGACTTCATGAAATTATACACAAATGGAAACATTCCGTCCTCTTACTGCTTATCCAACAGCTATTGATATATCCAAATTACTCATTATAAATAGTCCCAAAGAAATGAACATCTGACGACATATCCTTATCACTCGGAAGCAGAATTTGGCAATTAGGTAGATAACCTGAGGATTTGTATCTCTCTAAGTAACTCTGTTTGACCAGACAATTCTTTTCCGAAATGGTTGAAATAGCTTTTGTCGGAGATTTAAAACAAAAAAACAAAAAAAACCACACACACGGGAAACAATCTTCTGCCTTCAATTCTGCCTGAACTGCAGAGTTATTAACTCTATGATAAGGACTGCCTGTATTCCAAGCATGGTGCAGTATAAAGTGGTGCTAACACTTCGTGTGATCTTGAGATTATCCTTCTCTTGATGCAGCCTAGGATTGCATTGGGATTTCGGCCACCCGACTCTCTTAACTTCCCCTTAAGAAGATTTGAAAGGGGCATTTGGTGCATTTGCAAAGAGTAGTGAGCTGCCTAGCTATGAACATCTACCCTGTTTCCCTGAAAATACGACCTGCCCTGAAAGTAAGTCCTAGCTTGCTTTTTACATGTGCGCCCAATATAAACCCTACTCCCACCCCACCCCAAAATAAGCCCTAATTAAGATCCTGCCCACTCCACAGTGCACAGGCAAAAATTAAGTTAGGGTGGGGATGTGGGGTGGAGCTGCCTTATTACTTACCTTTGGACAGTTGTAGCCAGGCCTCACACACCCCGACACCTGCCTTGCCGGTCCATTTCTTCTGTAATCAGTAAGGCTTTCCTAAAAGTTTCTGTAGCTGATAACAGAGGCCAAGATCGATCCAGAGCTCTGTTATCGACTGCAGAGGCCTTCAGGAAAATCTTGTCCACCACAGAAGAAGTTCCTGAAGGCCTCTTGAGGCCAAGGGTGATGTGCGCAAGTGAGGTTAGTCAGTGGATGACATCCCCTGAAAATAAGACCTGGTGCCTTTTTTGGTGGCAAAATATATATATATAAGACAGGGTCTTATTTTCAGGGAAACACAGGTAAGACTATTTCACCTGAAAGGCCACCTACAAACATAAAATGCTGGCTAGAAACTAGGCAAAAGAGCACACTGACTTCCTCTCTGTAGCATGCCCAGCTTGGCATATGTACAATGTGTGATCCTGGTGTTTTACAGCTTGGGTAATGCCGCTTTCTTCTAGCTAAATAAATCAATGTTTTAGTCTACTACTCTTAAGGCTGTACTTTTAGCTAGATGACATCTTCAATATCACAAGCTTTTATTTTGCAAGCCTTCTCAACTGCAAGGCAATTAGAGAAATATCTTAATGATGCTTTTTTAGAGAGCATCAGATTTTTGCCTATACTTTATTCTCAGAATACTCTTATCCGCTAAGCTAAGGAATGCTTGTTTGATTGCAGCTGCGAAGAAGAAAAAGGACACCCGCCTCCAACAGCTTTGACCAATTGAGTTGAACATTGTGAAAATGAGGGGCTAACCCCGTGACATTAATACTGAAATTTTAATCAATGTTAGCAAATTTGCAAATGTAATAACCCTTCATTAAAAGAGATTTGAAAGAAGCGACACAGACAATTACAAACACACACGCAGCTTCCATTTTTAATAGAAACAAAGGTCATATATTATAGATGCATAAATTATGGGTGCCTTTCCAAGGGTCATAGTAGTAAATTATATCACGCGCACACACACACACACACACACACACACACACACACGGTTACTTCTTTTATAGATGCCTAAGACTGGGCACAACAAATATTGTTGGTTCTTTTTATCTTTAAATCATCTTTGAATGTTTAAAACTTGTATTCTTGATACCCTTTCCAGAAGAAGCCCTAAAAGGACCCAAATTTCTCATGCATGCCACCTTTTCTTCCAAACCCATGGTCACTACCCATTCATCTCCATTGCAAACAAGAGCAATGCTTAGATCCATGATGGTGAACCTATGGCACGCGTGCCACAAGTGGCACACAGAGCCATTTGCGCTGGCATGAGAGCCACAGGCAAACTTACCTCACTGCGCATGCACGCACCTCACAGCTGATTTTTTTTTTCCGGCTGGTTTGAGGCCTTTTTCAGTCTCCCAGAGGCTTGGAAAAAGCCTCTGCAAGGCTTTTCAGGTTGAATTATAGGCCCGTTTCGTCACTTCCTGTAATACTGGAAGTGACGAAATGGGCCTATAATTTGGCCTGAAAAGCCTTGCAGAGGCTTTTTCCAAGCCTCTGGGAGACCGAAAAAGGCCTCAAACCAGCTGAAAAATCAGCTGTGAGGTGCAGTGCAGGTGAGGGAGTGGCGGAGGGGGGGGGGTTGCACATGCATGCGCAGGGGGGGGGGGGGAGGGGGACACGCATTTGCATTTTGGGTGCTGGCATGTGTGTGTACACTGGCACGCATGCAATTTTTGGCACAGGAGCCCAAAAAGGTTAGCCACCACTGGCTGAGAACAACTGTAGCTACAATGCTTCATCTACCAACCCCAGGTTTTCTTTTATTTATTTAAGAAAATTTATAGGGTCCGCCCGGCTCTCACTCAGTGACTCCAGGTGGCTTATAAGGGGGCGGGGGGAAACCCAATATAAAAACAATTTTTAAAAATCCCTAATAACCATCACCCCTTTGGCGACAATAATCAAACAAGCCTTCATCCACTGCAGAGGTCCCCAGGCTCCTTGGAAAAACCAGGCCTTCATGGACATGAGTCAGTAGGGGTCAACTTTGTTCCTGCAGGGATGATATTCTACAGCAGGGGTCCCCAACTTCCAGTTCACTACTGAGCCTTGGCCCCGTACAGAACAGGGCCATTGAAATTGACAGGCAAGTGTGTGAGGGGGCACAGCTGTGTTTGTATGCGCTTCTGCACTTATGCGAGCGCAAAGCCCCATTTGCACAAGCAGAGGGAGCGTGTGCCTGCCACTTGCGCCAATGCGACTGCGTGCGCATGCACTCACACACCCGCCGCACGCCCCACTCACACAAAACAATCCCCTTTCACACAAACCCCCGCCAGTCCGCAAAGCCAGAAAAATTGGAAAATGGTGTTCTAGAGCAGGGGTGTCAAACTCAAGGCCCTAGATCTGGCCCCTGGGTCCACCCTCAAAACAGCGAAAGAATGGCCCGCGGTGCCTCTGCCAATGAAAATGGAGCTCGGGAGGGCTGTGGGCAGCTCTCCTGATCTGGTTTCGCTGACAGAGATTTGCAGGAGGCCATCGCAGCCAAAAACGGAGGTCCGGAGCCCATTTTTGCTGGCAGAGCAATTGGGGCACCACAGGCGCCCCCAACATGAGTGATGTCGAGCTGGCCACGCCACCCTGGCCACGTTCACCCCGGCTCCCTGAGGTCAAACACAACCCTAAGGCGGCCCTCAGTTAAATCAAGTTTGACACCCCTGTTCTAGAGGGAGGGAGCCCCCACAGAAAAAGTCCTTCTTCTTGGTCCCAATAGATCAGGCGTGTCAAACTCACGGCCCATGGGCCACATGTCTGATGCGCTGGGCACTCCACCCGGTTTAGTGAAGGGGGGATGTCGCAATACATCATGTGACGATTCCGTGATGATGCAAGTTTGACATCCCTGCATTAGATGGTGTTCTTAGGAAAGGGGAACCTTAACATTTCCTGCTTTCCTGCCTTTTTTTAATTTGTTAGTTTTGTTTTTGGCTTTGTTGCCTTTTTAGTGCTCCTCCTTGTTTTTGTTATATGTTTCAGTCATAAAAATTTAGCTAGCCACCTTGAGCGATATGCCCTCTACCCAATTGGGCCCCTCCCAGAACTCTCTGGTATCATACAGTTGAGATTAATCCTTGTGGTTTTTCCCCAGGAATTCGACTTTGAACTATTGTTTTAGCATGACTAACTTGTTTTCTTTTTCTGTTTTTTCCCTGGAGTAGGGTTTATTTCGTTTTGTTTAGGATTCTTTAAACGTTTTTCATATTTCAGCATCATGCAGAGACTCACTGTTATGCAGTTGTCCTAGCCAATAACGAATAAATATCAATATATATAATAAGTCAAATACACTAAATAAACTTTTCACTTGCCTAGTGATGAACAGCATTTTTGAAACCGGTGAAACGAATTACAATTCGACAGACGTCCAAAAAGTACCACAATGCTTTATATGCATTGATATACACATAATAAGAATATACTGTTATGAACAATGGGGAAGTCATTGCTATTAAAATATCCTAAAGAGTCTATACAATTACTGAATAAACAGCAGAAATTAAGAAATAGCACCAAAATTTCTTTGATCCAGTTGTAAAGACCTCGATCTCTATAATTCAGAGCTTAGCTGGTAAAATCAACTAACCAACTTTACTGGCTGGCACATTTTACAAGGCGTTTTCAAGGAATTCAACAAAGATTTGAACTTATCCAAGAGATATCTTATCATTGTTGATTCAGAGCTGTCTATGGTTAATGTTAACAATCCACAGGCACAATTGAATGATTTCTTATTAGGCAATGATTTATATACAGTCACTTGGACCAGTAACCCAGTTCTGAACAGGTTTAACTTAAAGGTAAGCCCCACAAAACATCAATGGAATTTACTCTTGTGTAAATTGTACACATAGCAACGCACTGTAGCTCTACTTAAGAGCAGCTGTTGCATTACAAGTTTTATTTGATCTACAAAGTAAACAGAACAAACTCTACTCTGCCCCAAATGTCCTTCCTTCCAGTGACGTATCATTTGCCATTTGTTCCACGTAAATTACTTACCTGATATAAATAATCCTCAAACACAAAATAATAGTCATCATTGCTGGCTGTCAATTTCACATCCTGAAATAAAAAAAAAACCCACACCTTTCTGAAGCTGAGTCACATCTTTTCCACATGGGCACCTCTCACACTGTACACAATATAACAACATGCAGCATTATTGTAATCTAATGGCTCTAACAACAGCTATGGCACTAATGATAGATCAAGCACAGCCTTTCATCGACTTCTAATTTTCAAATGCAATGGAAAGTTCCATTAGAATTATTGATCTACAACGAAAGAAACAGAATAAGAGAGTTGGAAGGGACCTTGGAGGTCTTCTAGTTGAACCCCCTGCTCAAGCAAGAAACCCTATACCCGTGATGGTGAACTTACGGCACAGGTGGCACGTAGAGCCATTTGTGCGGTCACATGAGCCCTAGCCAAACCTACTTGCACTGGGCATGTGTGTGCCTCCCAACTGATTTTTGGCCCGTTTGAGGCCGTATTCGCCCTCCCGGAGGCTTGAGGGAAGCCTCTGCAGACTCGGGAGGCTGAAAAATGGGCCTTCTGGAAATACCGGAAGTGCTTAAACGGGCCTGTTTTTCGGCCTCCCGAGGCTGCAGAGGCTTCCTTCGAGCATCTGGGAGGGTGAAAACGGTCTCAAATGGGCTGAAAATCAGCTGGGAGGCACACACATGCACAGTGCAGGTAAGGGGGTGGGGGTGTTGCACGTGCATGTGCAGGGGGCGGGGCGCATTGAATTGTGGGTGCTGGCATGTACACGCCTGTGCACGCTATCGCGTGCGCACGTGCTTTTGGCACACGACAAAAAAAAAGGTTCACTATCACTGCCCTAAACCATTTCAGACAAATGGTTGTTCAACCTCTTCTTAAAAGCTCCAGTGATGGATCACCCACAACTTCTGAAGGCAAAAGCTGTTCCACTGATTAACTGTTCTCGCTGTCAGGAAATTTCTCCTTAGTTCTAAGTTGCTTCTCTCCTTGATTAGTTTCCACCCATTGCTTCTTGTCCTGCCCTCAGGTGCTTTGGAAAATAGCTTGATTCCCTCTTCTTTGAGGCAGCCACTCAAATATTGGAACACTGCTAGCAAAACATTATGGGATCCAACAATGGTCATTTCTCAAATCTCCATTTATTCCTGCTGTTTATTATTTAACTAGTCAGCAGTCCAAACATAGAGGGCTTATTTCCCCATTTACTCAGGAAATGAAATTGTGTTGGGCCAGACTGAGATATGCCACATTCCAAAGGATTCTAAAGAGAAATGCAGTAAATGGGAATTCCTGGAGCAAGAGTCATGCTGATTTTGATTCCTCTGTTAGCACTAACCACCACATTCAAAAGCTATAATTATGGTGATCATAGCAGAACCATAGAGATTTTTCACTCCTTATTAGTCAGAAATTCAAGGCCCTTGGATTAGTTTGCTACCAGCTATCTTGCCAGCAGAACACAATTAATAAGGTTAGCCATTCTAAAAGACATTAAGCAGTCAAAACAAACATTTCTTTTCACTACATAAAGCCTAAAGGCCGAGTAACACGTTGCCTACTGACCACAGAAATATGCAAAACAAAAATTACTTACTTTATAAATCAGACTGTCCACCAAAAGATTGTACTGGATCACGTTAGACTTCAGCTGCTCATAGTACAAGATATCCTAAAATGAAATAATAATAACAATAACGATAATAATAATTGTCATCCCATATCAACCATCAGCACCAGTCAATGATATTTGTGATACATTTTTAAATGTTCAGTTGACTGAGTTTCATGCCTTTTTTTAATTTAAAAAAATCTTTATTGGTCAAATTTTACAATTAAAAACATATTTCCATTCACTTCAGCTTATTTGTAGTGTCATTCACTCTCATTGACATGTTCTTAATATGTAAATTGTTACTAAATATTATTACAATTATTTTGCATTCAATTTATAATGTATATTCATATATTTACAGTTACATAATTATACGTAGTTATACTTAAGTCAGACAATATTGTTTCATCTCACCATAAACTTTCTTTCATTTACCTATTTTATGTCTATCTTGTAGCCAATTGTACCATAGACTCCAGATTTCATGGTACTCTGTTCCTTCTTTCTTTCATTTCCATTCCTACCCATTTCTGCACTATCTAAAACCTTTTTTATTACTGAGTTTCATGTTTAATGAATAAAAGAGACAACAATAACAACAACAACAACAAATGTGATCAATGATCATATACTGAGCTGTTGCAAGACAATCGCTCAGACTGACTACAAACAACGTCACAACATAGTCGCTCAAATGGTCCACTGGAATTTGTGTCACAAGTACCATCTGCCTTTAGCAAAGAACTGGTGGGATCATAAGCCTGAAAAAGTGGTCAAAGATGAGCATGCAAAACTACTGTGGGACTTCCGAATACAGACTGATAAAGTTTTGGAACACAACACCCTGGATATCACGATTGTGGAGGGAAAAAAAGTGTGGATTGTCGACATTGCCATACCTGGTGACAGCAGAATTGATGAGAAACAACTCGAAAAAATCACCAGATATCAGGACTTGAGAATCGAACGGCAGAGACTCTGGCATAGATCAGTGCAGGTGGTTCCAGTGGTACTTGGCACACTGGGTGCTGTGCCTAAAGACCCCGGCAAGCACTTAAGAACAATTGGTGCGGACAAGATCCCCATTGGTCAGCTGCAGAAGGCCACCTCACTGGGATCTACTCGGATAATCCACCGATACATCATGCAGTCCTAAACGCTCCCCCAAACTCCACCACAAATGAGTCTTTGGGAGCCTGAAAGGCCTCCGGCTCCAAGAGGCTGCGCTGGTGTGACAAGTCTCACAAAGGCTCATTTCTGGCGGGATTTGGGAGAAAGAAAGACTTCTGCTGCTTCTGCTGCTTTCCTTGCATGAAGCCCGAAGTCTCTCTCTCTCTCCCCCCCTGAGAATGGAGCTGGAGATGGGATCCTGCGATCCCAAATAAAGAATGGTCGATCGGTAGGAAAACACGGTGGGGAATTTTCCTGCACTTTTTGAGGTATTTTTTCCCAGGGTCTCTGGTCCACGGGATTTAAAATTATGAGTTTGGTGGTCCCTGAGATCCAAAAGGTTGGTGACCCCTGCTTTACAGCCCTCTCTAGGCAGTTTATGGAGTCAGCATATTGCCCCTCCCCAACAATCTGGGTTCTCCTTTTACCCACCTCGGAAGGATGGAAGGCTGAGTCAACCTTGAGCCTGGTGAGATTTGAACTGCCAAATTGCAGGCAGCCAGCAGGCAGGCAGAAGTGGCCTGCAGTGCTGTACTCTTAACCACTGCGCCACTGTGGCTCATATACTATCAGAATTTACTATGCTGATACATCACGACATCAAGAATTTGATACATATGAAGACCTGTACCAGCTAAAGAACTGCCACCTTTGATTTCACGCAACTGTGAATAGATAATACTAAGATCAACCAGTGTTACTGGAAACCACACAATTTAAAAATTTGCTAGTTTTACTTAGTTGTGATAAAAATGTTTTATATTTACCTTTGCTGTGAATCAGGAGTATCAAACTTGATTCTATTGAGGGCCGCATTGGGGTTGTGTTTGACCTCAGGGGGCCGGGGTGAGCATGGCCAAGGTGGGCGTGGCCAGCATGGCATCACTTGTGCTGAGGGGGAGGGCACCTGTGGTCGCCCAAGCACTCTGCCAGCAAAAACAGGCTCCCAAGCTCCGTTTTTGGCTGCAACCCTTTGCTAGTGAAAACAGATTGGGGGGGGGACGTGTGGTCCTCCCGAGCTCCGTTTTCACTGGCAGAGGCATCGGGGGCTGGTCCTTCACTATTTCCAGGATGGCCCGGTGGACCAGATCTAAGCATCCTGCGGGCCAGATCTGGCCCCCTGGCCTTGAGTTTGACACCCCTGCTGTGAATGAAGTTAATTTATTGCCTGTTTGATATTAGGTTTTTTCGGCTGTAATACTGATCTCAGTGCTTTTAAATATTATTGTTCTAAAGTTCTTATATAACCAGCTCTGATTATAGTGGAAAGGCAGAACTGAATGTCTTACGTAAATAAATGAGTTCCAGAAATTTAAAAAAATGGAACTGGGGAAAAATTCATTCAGGATATCCAAATATAATCTCAGAAACATTGTTAGATATTCATCGTCAAAACAAATGAAACACATTTCATCTCCAAACATGGAATAAGAAATATTTTAAAACAAGGAAATACAAGATTCATTTCCATAAGCATTTATGTTTTATTATTCAAACAGAAACTGTTATCAAAAGTGGATTTTAAAAGGTGATTAAGAGACATTTGTAGGGTAGAATTTCCTTAAAATAAAACAATGACAAACAATGACAAAGAAATACATAGGAGTTAATTTTTTTTAAAAAAAAGGTATATATGTTAGTGACTAAAACACTAAATGCAACAGAAGAGAGTGGGGAAAGAACTTTTAAAAAATCCACAGGCATTAATGAATTCATTTTTTGTCTCCAACATATAATACAGATTACTTCAATTCATTTTTACAACATCTATGCAGAATAGACCAAATATAACTCTTTTCATTCCACACTATCCTGTCAAAGCTGAAGAAGCTTCTTGGATGAAAATTCAAACGTCTTCAAAAGAAAAACCAAGGAACCTCAGTTACCTCCTGAAAGCCACGACCTGCATGACTGAAAATTTCTACATGTTTTAGCTAAACAATTTGGGATGAACATCCTTGGAATGGTGTGGGAGTAGGAATGGATTTCCAGAGAGAGAAAAATTGCAGACTGCAGGAACCAGAAACACCACTCAGGTGACCCTGAGGACACAGATAAACCTCCAGGTGGCCTCGACGACCCTCTAATAGGAGGCAAATGACCAGCTCTCTGTAAGGAACATAAATCCTTCCAGTCCTCACTATCCTGTCAGAGCTGAAGAAGCTTCATGGATGAGAAGCAAAATGTCTTCAAAAGAAAACAAAAAACAAGAAAGTCCAGCTGCCTCCTGAAAAAGCACTTTTGGGAAGACCAAATCCATTTCTTCGTATCAGGGGAATAATGAAGATCCTCCTAGGTTTACAAATTGAATTCCTATGCCTTCTGAAAGTACTGCATCAGGATTCAACAACTTCAGAACATAAGTCAATTATTTGCTTGACTGTGTTACATCCCAGACATTCTTAAGTTAGACATGACATTAAGAACAGTTTCCTTGTGGTATCTGACTGATTGAGGATAGAAAACAGGTGGTTGACTTACATCGGAGAATAGGTAGAGAGAAATTCCATGAACTCATCTGGATCAACTGACAGTTTAGAATAGAATAGAACAATCAAGTTGGAAGGGACCTTGGAGGTCTTCTAGTCTAACCCCCTGCTAAGGAAGGAAACCCTATACCATTTCAGACAAACGGTTATCCATGTTATTCTGCACTTAAGTGAGGGGAAGAAACAAGTTGGGATGGATGGTGATTGGGGCATGTGATGTGATGATGGGTGCAGGGGGAGGATGTGTAGATTTTATTTATTGCAAGGAAGTCCGGAACTTTCAGATTCGGGATTCCCCAGATGTGTCAGTGTACTATCCCATTAAAATAGAACTTTTGAGAAGATGACTGTCTCGGAGTTATTTGATGGAGTGGACGTTTTCTGGAACGCTGACAAAAGGTCGTAAAATGGGGCAAAACCAGGGGTGGGCTTTTTTCATGTTCCTTTCATATTCCTCTTCACTTAATTTTTTTTAACACATTTATAATAATTAAAATGTTCCCCTCCTTTCCTAATTTCATTCTCTCATTCTCTTTATTTCATTTATTTATTAAACATTCCATTACATTACAAGTATTTTATCTATCATTTTAATCACACTTGTTTCATATTTTCAAAGTTCATTTCTATTTCTAATATAACAATACTATCTTATGTACCCTTGCAGAATCCCCCTTTCAATTAAGTTTTCACCCATTATCTCTGTGTCTTCTAAATAGGCGTATACCCTAAATCCTTATACGTTTTCCTTGTTTCTCTATGTCCTGTTTCTGTCCTTTATAATTTCTTTTCCTTTCCCTCTTTCCCCCTCTTCTTCTCCCTTCCCTTTTTGACCCCTTCTCTCTCTAATTCTGATTCTCTCTTCTGTAATCCTCTCTTCTGTTTCTTCCTAATGTTGTAATTACTTTTCAAACTATTCTTTTTTGGGGTTGTTTTTTCAAATCTTAATTTTTTCACTCTCCTTTCCCCTTTCCTTTCTTTTCCCCTCATAGAAATACCTGGTCATTGAAGATGGCTTCTTCTTTGTCCCGCCCTTCTTGTTCTACAGGCATTTCTTGTTGTTTCTCATAGTTCAGGATCTCCATTTCTAAAAATTGAAATATGAAGCCAAAAGAACCTCTTCCTTCTTGTGCATCTTCTTTCTGTTTTTTTAGTTCCATTCTCAATTCTTCCAAGAGTGATACCATTTTAAAAACTTTTAAACAACCACCCGATTAATTTTAGTCCTTTAAATCCAATAGCTAAAAATCCAAAAATCACCAAGTAAACCAAATAATCCAAAGCTGTTTCTTCTTGCTTTTTTCCGCACTTTCTCTTCCTGGGGTTCTCTTATCTTGTTACAAAGTTTCAGTTAACATGGAATCTTTAGGAATCTTATTAAAGTTTCACTGTTAATTCCTTTCACTTCCAGGTGGTCTCCTCCATTTTTCCAGATCCCACCTTTTTGTTTTTTTCCTTCTTCTAAAAGTTTTTGATAATCCAGAAATCTTTATTATCCCTTTGACATTTTATATTCAGCTTAAATACCTGTTAATGTCAAAGTGGATTTTTGCTGGTTTCTTGCTTAAATCTCTTAGTTGTTTATATAGGGAAGAAAAAAAACCCAAATCCTTTCCCTTCCCTCTCTCATTCACTGCTTCAAAGTCTTCTTTGGGAATAATGTTGTTCTTTATAATTCAAATTCTGGGGTATCTTATATTGTTGCTTTTCAGTTCAACCCGATCAGCCAAAACTTTCTCTTCTTATCTTCCTCCTGCACATTCTTTTCCGGTCGAGTTCTTCTTTATGGTGGCCATTTCTGACCACTGCTGCAACTGCCTTTGGGAAAGGGAGTAATGGCCAGCTGGGGAGGAGAGATGCAACTCTCCTCGACCCTGCTAGCAGTCTCCCCTCTCTTCACCACATCTACGGGTGGCTTAGCCCCGAAACCAGCCAGCTTGAAGCGCTCCAGTGGCGAGCACAGATCAAAACTGCGCACGATCGTAGATTTCGGTCTATCACTGAAGAAGCCCAAACCGGAAGCCGCACTGTGTTGAGGCGTAAAAAAACACAAAATCACTAGATCAGGCCACAATTTTCACACTAACATCCCAATTGTGTTGGAGCCTGAGGGCTTTATTTATTTATTTTTTTAGTTCTTGGTTTTAGTTTTTAAAGTCTTAATTGTAATTTTATTATTCTTGTGAGCTGCTTCAAGTTGTGTTTTAAAGATGAATGACCATATAAATCTTTCTTCACAAAATAAACTCCTATGCCTAGCAGATAAGCCTGAGAGAATTACAAAAGAAAACCTATATAAAAATAATGTAGTCCCTTTATTTAAAAAAAATCCCCCCTGAATAACTATGTATATTAATACTTCATAAATTAAATTAAGAATTGTACTGATTTTTTCATAAAGATGGAGTCAAAATCCACTTTATCTATAAAAACTCTAAGAGCTAATAGCTAAAGTCATCCTGTAATAGTTTAAAATTCTGGGATCTTTAAGAGAAAACAGCTATACAATTACAAAAATTAGCCATTTTCCCCAGTCATTCGGAAGAAACTGAGGGAAGAAAGAATGTCTGATGATAATATGCTTTAAACTTTACTCCTTTACATTAAGACTTCAACTAATCCTATTTCTAAGATTAGCAATTCTTTCCCTTGCTGGAACCACAATGTCAATTTAATTCCCTTTTTTTAATGAAGGAGAGAATTGCAGAACAGCATTAGTAGCACTGAAATGTAGAGAGTCAGAGCAGAGAGCTTGAAATATATTCCCTTCTTAAAAGCAATCCTCTAAGCTGCTGACCCTTTACTTGAGAAGCTTAAAGAGAAAACCCTTTATATGAAGAGATAAGAAAAGGAATGTTGTGGAAAGTCCAAAGTTTTCTCCTTTTTCTAAGGACCATCTCCAAAAGGAACTTAGAAGGTGTTTATATTTATTCTCCGTGTTTGCATGCTATCGGTTCAGTTCTCATTGGTTCGCACCCCCCCCCTCCCCGGAGTCATGGTGGCTTGCCAACATTGGTGGGAGAGAGAGAGAGGGAGGAAGAGGGAGGGAGGGAGAGAGAGAGGTTGGTCTTCCTATTGACCAGGCTTTCCAACTATTCATCCACCCTGACTTTATAACAATATAATACGGGTTTTCCCATTTTGCATTGGGAAATGCTCGTAATATATAGGCAGCCCATGAATGACAATCATTCATTTAGTCATCATCTTCTTCTTTTAATGACCCCATAATCCCTAGCGGGGTGGAGTTTGGGCAACTGAAAGGAGCTGAGTATTTTCTGGCCGGATGCCCTTCCTGCCACCAATGAGGAGTTTTGTTTAGCAGATATATTCTCGTTGTGCCCAGAGAGAGAAATATCTGCCTCTACCTAGGATCGAACTCCCAGCCTCCTGATTGTGAGGCGAGAACTCCACCTCTAGGCCACCGCATCACTCAGACAATCATTCGTTTAGTTACCGCTCAAAATCACAACGGCACTGAAAAAAAATAACTGATGACAGTTTTTCACATTTATGACCATTGCAAGCATCCCCAGGGCCACTTGATCCACATCAGCAACTGGCATGTATTTATGATAGTTGCAGTGTCTGTGGATCATGTGATCCCCTTCTGCAAACTTCTGACAAGCAAAGTCAAGGAGAGAAACCAGATTCACTGAACATCCGTGTTATTAACAACTGCAGTGATTCACTTAACAACTGTAGCAAGAAAGGTCGTAAAAGGGAGCAAACCTCAGTTAACAACTGTCCTGCTTAGCAGTGGAAAGTTTGAACTGAATTGGGAACATAAATCAAGGACTACCTATATTGAACAGTTATTAAAATACATCAAAGATATGTTAAAAACACGCTTGTCAATTATTGATTGGGACCTACAGAGGCATATTATTACCAAAAGTGATTAAATTCTGCGGGGAAGGAAATTATTTAATTATTAAATTGCCAGGTTGCCCAGATCCCCTGTAAGGCAACCCACAGATTACCAAAAGACAAATAGATAAATACATGAAATTATGCAATTAAAAAATTTAAAACTAGAAAAAGAGAAACAGTACTAAGAGATGGACGGCAGAGGGATGAGGTCTTCTTACTCCCGCCTACCACTTCCGAGTGGTGGGCACACCCAGGGATGAGATCCGACCCGTGTAACAACCAGTTCGGTGGCTATGTGTCACACGCGCATACGCACTTCGTGCACTTGGTGCTGTAAAGGTTCGCCAACACTGCTCTAGGCCTGTCATGCCCATCGGAATCTGACTCGGAGGAGGAAGCTGAACAGCTGACAGGGAGTGGGAGTGTGGCTCCGTTGGCTGTGGAGGAAACTGGGGAAGGGCAAAGTCCAGCTAGGCAGAGCAGAGGAGAGGGAGAGCAAGGGAGAGGGAGTTCAGAGGAAGACTCAGGGCCACCCCTTCTTCATCTTAGGGCACGCAGGGGAGGAACAGAGAAGAGAGCAAGGTGGGTTGTGTGGCTTTAGCGGGAGGAAAGGGCCCCGATTCCCTTCATTAGCTGCAGCTGGGAACACAGTGTATAAAAAGGGCAAGCTGCATGCAGCAAGCTGTTAGGAGCAAACGTGAATTTATCTTGTGACTTATCTGTGTTCTTGGCGTCTTCCCAACTGTGTGAGTTTTGCTGTGCATTCAAGTCTGAAATTACTTCTCCTGCCTTGTCAAGCTAATTACTTCAGTTTGGTTTGTTTGGATTTTAAGTTACAGTTTGTGTGTACCTTGTTTTGGACTGAAGGCTATTCCTGGGAGTTTTTCTCCAGCTGAGGGTAACCTGGATACTGGGGGCAAAGCTGGAGATAATAAGGGACTCTTATTACTTATTTGCCTTTGTGCCACGCCCCGGGTCATCACAAGGCCATTCAGTTCATCCTGTATTGGGAAGAGGTTTGGGGATGTTTTCGTAGGCGTTCCCGCAAAAAGGGAAACAGAAGTTGCACAAAACGGGTGGGAAAAGATCAGACAGTTCTGAGACCTGGGAATATGCTGCACGTTCAGCAGCATTTATTGATATAAGAAGAGTCCACTGGTAAAAAAAAATGTTATGCTAGAAAGTCAGAAGTTTGAAGAAAAGTGTTAAATAAATACCGATGCCCCTGTAGGATCGTGCAAAAAAAAACACAAAAGACTCCAACAATGCTCAATTCTAGAACCAAAACATACACTTAGCTGTCACAGGAATGTAAACAGAAATCCGTATTTCCATTCTACTTTTCCAACTTACCTCTGGCTGGGTTGAAATGTTCAGAATTAGCGCCCACAGCTCTGCTCTCAATGAATTTGGGGACCCTTGGCGCACGTACTGTTGAGCGGCTGCGCTATCCTGCTCCGCAAGGACTACGAGAAATGTAGATCGTATAATTAGGCAAAATACCTAAAGCCTCACAGTACTAAAGTGAAACCTAAGAGGTAGCTAATACCAATTACAGGACTGTCATTGGACCTTAATTGAGACCTAAATTTCTTTTTTTAAAAAATAAAGTTTTATTTGGATTTTCACACACAAAATACAAGTAAAACATCTTTTTTGAAAATAGCATGGTCCCGGGTTGAACTTCTTTACACAGACACAAAACTCAGTTTCATGCTCCTTTTTGTATTCTATTCCATATCTTATACTATTTTACATTTTCGATATAGTTTTTCCCCTCTTTTAATTTTCTCAATTTTATTTTGATTATCTCATCTCAATTCAAATCATTATATTTATACTTTTATCTGTTCTGTTTCAATTTCATATTATCTTTTCTCATTAAACAAATTTTCTCCTGTAGTTACTAATTGGAGTATGACACCTTTATATCTTTTAATTACATCCATTCAACTCTTATTTAAACTTCAATATATACCTTAAGTTTATGACCTTCAATATAACACATAATACATAACTTCCAATCGAATTCTGCTTGATACATTCTTATAATACACACTATATTATTTTTTTTTAAAAAGAAAGATTGTAAATATATGTAATTATAAACCCTCATTCCATTCCAGTTCAGTTCTATCATTAATAATCATTAAAATCTTAACATCTTTAACACTTTTCAATTAAATATCATACTTCCTTAAAAACACATATAATCTCCATAATTTTTTCCCTTATTTCTCTTCACATATGTTTTATAAATCATTAAATATACCTTTTGTTACATTTATTTATTGACAAGCATTCCACTGAATTACAATAGCTATTTTATCAGACATTTTAATCATACATTGTTTCATATTTTCTAAAATTATTTCTGTTTCTAATATAACCATACTATCTTATGTACCTTTGCAGAATCCCTTTTTCCATTAAGTTTTCACCCATTATCTCTAAATAGGCCGTTTCTCTATATTTTGCTTCTGTCCTTTATAATTTCTTTTCCTTTCTTTCTTCCCTCTCATCTTCTCCCTCCCCTTTTTACCCCCTTGTCTCTCTACTTCTAATTCTCTCTTCTGCATTTCCCTCTTCTGTTGCTTTCTGATTTTATACTTATTTTTCACTCTATCTTTTTTTGAGTAATCTTAAACTTTCCATTCTCTTTTCCCCCTTTCCTTTTTTCCCCCCATCTAAGATTACTTGTTCATTAAAGATGGCTTCTTCTTTGTCGCAATCTTGTTCTGCAGGCATTTCTTGTTGTTTCTCATAATTCCAAATCTCCATTTCTAAAAACTGAAATACGAAGCCAAAAGAACCTCTCCCTACTTGTGCATCTTCTTTGTACTTTTTAAGTTCCATTTTCAGTTCTTCTAAAAGTGTAGCCATTTTAAAAAGTTTTAAACAACCACCTGGTTGATTTTAGTCATTCAAAACAATAACCAAGAATCCAGAAATCATCAAGTAATCCAGATAGTCCCGAGTTATATTTTCTGATTTCTTTTTCAACTTTCTCTTCCTGGGGTTTTTGTTGCGATATTTCAGTTAATGATATTTCATAACATTTGCTAGCAAGGAAACTCACAAAATTAACTCACAACACACCATGTATGTAAATATTGATTTTTTTTATTAAAAAAAGAACAACTTTTACCCAAAATCAGGCAAAGCAGGCAGAGAGATTGAGTTGCTCACAGAATCATTCAGTGATCTATCTATCTGCCATCGGCTAGCTCAGTCTGTCACATAAAATTTGCTTGCCGTGAGTCGCGAATTTGCTTGCCGTGCACTGAATAATAGAACCTTCAGTCCTAAGGGAGGTTTGGCTGTGCTTAAAAGCAGAGCCGAAGATCTAAAGACTAGCTAGAAAGCAAGAAATCCAACCATTTCCCGCTTCCTAGCTAATCTAAATCTCCCGGCACACTAGAACAGATGATGGTTGGAAAAAGGAAAAATATCAATTTAGCAGGCAAGTTTGCCCGGTAAGGAGTGAGTGGGCGGGGAGGATTCCCACGGGCCATGTGGGCGGCGCAGCCTTGTGTTTCTGCTTTGGAGGGGGTGCTCTGGGGTGAGATTTCTCTGTGGCCCACCAAAATTTTCTCGCAGCCCACCGGTTGGCAACCACTGTTGTAGATGACTTCTGTTTTTCTTCTGAGGCTGCTGGGTCTTCTGGGTTACTTAGGATGCTTGGGAGGGCTTTAGTTGATTTGTGTGTTATGGTGAAGCCATCTGGTTGCAATAGTCGGTTGGTTTATGAGGGGTTTTTTTTGACATATGTTATCTTTTTTATAACTTATGTTGGTTGTGCTATATTGGGTTGGATGATCAGACCCACTTAACTTAGTTGCATGGAAATAGAATAGAACAGAATAGAACAGAACCTTGGAGGTCTTCTAGTCCAACCCCCTACTTAGGTGGGAAACCCTATACCATTTCAAACAAATGGTGGTCCAATCTCTTCTTTAAAACTTCCAGTTTTGGAGCATACACAACTTCTGGAGGCAAGTTGTTCCACTGATTAATTGTTCTAACTATCAGGAAAGTTCTCCTTAGTTGTACGTTGCTTCTCTCTTTGATTAGTTTCCACCCATTGCTTCTTGTCTGGCCTTCAGGTGCTTTAGAAAATAGCTTGACCCCTTCCACTCTGTGGCAGCCCCTCAAATATTGGAACATTGCTCTCATGTCTGTTTATTAAACTAGACATACCCAATTCCTGCAACTGTTCTTTAGATGTTTTAGCTTCCAGTCCCCTAATCATCTTTGTTGCTCTTCTCTGCAGTTTCTAGAGTCTCGACATTTTTTTACAACGTGGCAACCAAATTTGGATGCAGTATTCCAAGTGTGGCCTTACCAAGGCATTATAAAGTAGTATTAACACTTTGTGTGATCTTGGTTAGAAGATGTTGTATAGATGATCTGTTTTCTTTTTTTTTCTTTTTGGATGCTCAGGGTAGCAGATCCATCAAAGGCCTGCTGCAGTTACTAACCATCAAGCAGAATTAAGATTATTTTCTTTTCTGAAGTATGGACACAGCTCTCTTAATAACAATAAGGATATTTTGAGCATGGAAAAGAGAGGCTTGGTGATTTTCAAGTAAAATTCTAAATAATATGGCTATTATTAAGTGTTGTACCTTATGATTCTTGACTCTTGAATCTTTTTTTAATGTACACTGAGAGTATTTGCACCAAGACAAATTCCTTGTGTGTCCAAACACACTTGGCCAATAAAGAATTCTATTCTGTTCTGTTCTGTTCTGTTCTGTTCTATTCTATTCTATTCTATTCTATTCTATTCTATTCTATTCTATTCTAAACAGGGATTCAGCTCAGGCAAAGAGCTGTGTGTAGGGACACATTATTTTAAATTAGCCACCTAATTTAAGTTCTTTCTATAGCTAAGGGTGATTATAATGGCCTGGACATTTTGCCTTTTTTAAATGCACAGGGCATATCCCATTGTCTATAACCGCAGCATAATCCTAAACTTGCTTATTTGGAAATTTTCAACAGGCTTACCTCTAGGGCAGTGTGATTACAACTCCAGCATGGCTGCTCCTTATATAACTTAAAATAGAAACAAATGGCAATTGTATGGTTTTTTTTAAAACAAACAAATAAACAGTATATTAAAAATGATTACTGCATCCAACTCTTACCTTTTTGACCGAGCCGTATGTGCTCATTTTCAAAAAGCTCTAAAAAGTTAATAAGAATAAAATAAAAATATTAGTTCTATGAGAATATCAGAATTACTTAATGGAACGTAATGTTCCAGGCATGTACGAAGATTCAAATGAACATGCACGATCATGTGCATGCAATATTTCTCAAGTTTTTTTTTTTTTTTAACAGAAAATAGCAATCCTATATTAATTGTGGTTAGTGTCAGCCTTGGATGCCATATTGAGATCAGATTCTCCCACATCTGAGCCTAGGAAAGTGGGAGGGGGAAATATATTGGAGTATACCCTAGTTAGATATAATAAGATTATTTTTCTGATTCAAGGTCAGGTTGTGTTGTGCATAACTGAGAGGAAGTCTTAACTGGGAATGGATGGTGACTGGGGCATGTGATGTGATGGTGGGTGCAGGGGATGGATTTTGTAGTTTTTACTTATTGCAAGGAAGCTCGGAACTTTCAGATTCAGGATTCCACAGTTGTGCCAGTTACTATCCAAACTAAAAGGAACTCTTGGAGAGATGTCTGTCCTGGAGTTATTGGGTGGAATGGAGGGTTGCTGGAACGCTGACAGTTAAACTTAAGCACCCACCTGAAGGCACATGTGTAGAATCATCAATATCCATCTGGCCAGTGTTCAGGTCTAATTCGCTAAAGTACTCCTTCTTAAGGGGACAAAAAAAGGAAAAAAAGACATTTTCCAAGAGGACAAGATCGCGTCACCCTACACCATATGTAAAATCAACATTAAATATCAATATATTGCTTTAATTGGCAAGCTGTAAACACAAAGGCTAAGACTCATGGGACCCATGCTATGTAATAAATTCCATCCCTCGGAAGACCAAAATCCCAGCATCTTAGTTAAAAACTTGACATAGATAGTCCTTGACTTACAACGGTTCATTTAGTGATCATTCAAAGTTACAACAGCACTAAAACAATGACACGTGGTCGTTTTCCACACTTACAACCATTGCGCCATCGTCATGGACACATGATCAAAATTCAGACGCTTGGCAACTGGCTCCTATTTATGACGGAATATCCTGGGGTCATGTGCTCCCCATTTATGACCCTCTGACAAGCAAAGTCAGCGGGGAAGCTAGATTCCCTTAACAACCAGGTTACCAACTTAACAACTGCAGTGATTCATTTAACAATTGTGGCAAGAAAGGTCGTAAAGTGGGGCAAAGTTCACTTAACAAATGTCTTACTTAGCCACAGAAATCCGTGGACCACCCATAAATCGAGGACCACCCTTACACCAAGGTGAATGCTGCACTGCAATATATATCACTTAGTTACCAGTTATAGCAAGGGTCTTCAAACTTGGCAAGTTTAAGACTCCTTGCTTTAAATTCTTTCAGATTTTTTAGATAGATGATAGAGAGATAGAGAAATATTGATATGGAGATAGATTAGATATGGATGGATGGATGGATGGATGGATAGATAGATAGATAGATAGATAGATAGATAGATAGATAGATAGATAGATAGATAGAT